TTCATTGGAGCTATATGGACGGGTACTGCCAGGGTGTCCAGCCACTAAGCAGGAGAACGACTAGGGTTCTCAACCGAAGCCTTTAGTTCTGACAAGAACCTAACCGCAAGGCAGGAGTTAAGGCGGATTGGAGGGCCATTAGCTTGGATCAATTATTCCTCCAACACGTTTTATCTACTGAGACGCCGACTCAAGTCGAACCCCCAACCTGGAGGACCGGGAGACTGGACTTTGTCGGACCTCTACCCACTGACCTTCCAGGAATGATTAGATCTTTGGCTCGGTAAAAGCCTTCCTGTGCAGCTCGTTGGGTCATGGACGTGCACAAGCCATCACACCACGTTAAGGTGCAGTCTCGTCGTGATGGTACTTCTGGGGCATTCCTTTTCGAAGAAGAGAGCCCATCAGAGCTTCGCGGTCAACTGAGTCGAAGGTTTCTTCCAGATCGAGGAACACTACGGTGGTTGGTCGCCGGTGGGTGTGAAGCAGCTCAAAGACCTGACGTAACTCAAAGATTGATCAATACATCCACGGCCAGGTCGGAATCCAGCCTTCGGTTCACGGATGTTGATTTCTCCTGAAGGCGTTAAACGTCGAAGTTTGACCATGGCTAGCATTTTGGTGACGATCAAGATCAAACTGATCCGGCGGTGGATTTCGCAATCGTTGCGATATCCTTTCTTTAAAATGGGAACGATCAGTGATTCGCCCCAAGATGAAGGAATGGGCTCTTGCGTCCAAATATTGCGCAGTAAGATAGTAATAGAGCTTACGAGGTTGTCACCGCCCATCTTGAAAAGGGTGACATGAAACTGTATCTAGTCGCGCATGGATTGCGGTCACGGAAATCTGGATCACCACAACGCTCTTCCCCCAAGAGTGCCTCATCAATCTGGCTCGCCTGCCGGCTAGACCTGCGGACTGCAATCGTTGGCTCCGCCTGTTCCTGGCGGTGTCCTTGTGTTTTGATTGGTTGTTTCTGCACATCTGACTGATGCGGCTCCGTCGGTTGTGCTGGTAAGGAGGCGATTTCTGCCAATGTCCGATGAGTCGAAGAGTGAAGCGTAGCAGAACTATCACACGATCCGACTCAACGCAGGTAGTCCAATAGGACCTGCAATTTTGTACTGAACGACACCAGCGGTAGCTTATAGCTATGTGGTCAATTTGCCCGTTGAACTGGAACACCATGTAGCCGTTCGACGAAAGCTGTGTCGAAAGTTGGTACTAAATAAGAACAACCGATGATCCGCGCAGAACTGAAGTAGTTGATCACCGCTGTCTGTTCGCTGGAGGGGAGGAGCGAAGTGTCCTCCTAAACAGGCTTCGGATGCGCTCAGTTTTCCAACCTGCGCTTTAAAATCACCTGCCAGCACTACAACAGTTGCAGTCTTTTGGACCCCAACCCGGAAGACTGGTGACACTTAATCTACCTCATCGCATTAGGCACTTCTTCGTCTCATTTCTACGTCATCTGTTGACCTCCACGTGGTTTCTCCCACCCCGGAACCGCAGCTGCGTTACGCGCTTGACCCACTTGACTAACGAATTTCTATTCCGCTACTTTTCTATAGCCGTTTTAATAATTTCAGGTTTATCTAGATGAACTGCCAACTTATTTTTCATTAAGTAAACGTTTTCAACTCTCCTTTGTGGTTAATTGTTTTCGGTTACATAACCCTTTCCATACTAGAATCTCCTCATTCCGATGCTTTGTAATCATTATCCTCACCGTCCCCTCGTCCAGTCCTTTACAAATGAATTTGGTAATAACTCAACAACTAAAACTCTTTGCCGATTGAAATAACATAATTGTGTAGATGTCCATATATTGTGTTCCTCTTATAACATTCATATCTATTTAATTTGCACAAACTGCCGATGGATAGCACGCAAAACTGATCACCAATGTCAATTCTGCCTATATTGTGTTACTTGTTTTATCTGTTATAGATTTACTACTGTCTTTCTGTTTCATAAACAGCTCATATTTCTGGTGCATATTCTAGCATTACGCATGTCTCGTTTTAGCTACCAAACCTCGGTTTTTTATCGATTAAAACCTAGAGATTAGGATTTGTCCTCTGGTTTTTTCGCCGACTATTCGAAAAACTATTATAATACAATTTAATTGATCAAAAACAACCGACCGTCACCTGCTTCCGAACGGTTTCGACATTAATCNCTTCTGGGAAAAACTGGCATTCTACGCTAGTAAAAAAAACCAAACTGAAAACCACCATGCAATTTTGTCCCCAACTGTTTGTAAATTCCATTATGATTCCGCCATTATCACTCTCCAGCAGCATCGAAGAAGAATGCTCTTGAAACCAGAGAAGTAATGCAAAAGCTCAGAAACCTTGTTTAATACTGCCATTTCCAAGTTTTCGGCGCAAGACAAAACAAGGACACTAAGACGACACGTTATTGAAAATAAAACACTCGATGTGCGTGCAGCTTAGGATCAAGCCAAAGCTCTCGATATAGCTTAACAGCAGTATCGGACAATCACCCAGACCACACTTTTAATCCGCATTTGCGAGCGTTCTTGTTTAGATGCCTGAAACGACACCGGTTCTGTATCGAAAAAACTGTCTCTTTTGTANGATCGACATTCTCGACACAAGTGTCCTGCGAAAGATGAAACTTGCAAGTCGTGTGGCAAACGAGAACACTTCAAGGTCTGTCGGGCTTCTGTGAACTCAAAGTAGCAGCCGCCTCATCATTCCTTGCCTCCGCCATCAGCGCAGCCACAGCAACGGTGAGCCTTGAAAAGGCTGTTACTGATGTAGCAGTCAACGTAGGAGCACTGAAAACCCTGGTGGACACTGGAAGCTCAGAAAGTTATACGTCCGGGGAGATCGTGCGCCGAAACAAATGGCTGGCATCAACATCCGATAGTAAGATTATCTTGGCTTCGGCTATTAGTATAAAGGGATCGTAATATTGAAATGAACTTCTCGGGCACACCATTCAACGAGAGAAATGAGAGCGACTGAATGAGTCAAATGCCGCTTCCGTATCGGGAAAGACGGAAATGGTGGGTCTACAAAAGGAATGTCTAGGTTGCAGACTTTGGTGAAAAGTAAAAATGTATCCTATACAACCTCGACCAGATCTAAAAACCAGCCTGGTTCTCACACGTTCACCGTTGAAGTGCATCAGATAACCGACGGCAAATGATGTCAGCGAGAAAATTAAAGGTTATTTTGATTAAATCAATTATTCTGTGGTTTTCACAAGAGGACCTGTCACGTTTCTGGTAAATCTGTGAGATGACCAACTCACACCATATAGTTAGAACAAGTTCCAACTGTATGTTCGACCCAGGAGTTTCGTCAACTCCAAAACCAAGAGTGAATCACCATGTTTAAAAGCCGATGGGGACAGTCCATCTGAGAAGAACGGTCCTGACTACTCTACACGACGACTAATGCAGTATGGAACTATTTTTAGTTAGTGTTCACTGGAGCTTTAGGGAGGAGGCAGGAGAACGATTAGGCTTCTCGGCCCGAACCCCTGGTTCTGAGAGGAACCTGACCCTAAGGCGAAATCAAGGCCCATTTACTTGGATCGATTGCTCCTTCATCATTCCTTTTACCGATTGAGACGTTAACACGAGTTAAACCCTCAACTTGAAGGACCACGGGACTGAACTCTGTTTGATCTCTGTCCTCGAACTTGCAGAAATTATCAGATCATTTGCTTGATGAGAGCCATCCCGTGCAGCTCGTTTGGCCACAGAGGTGCACAAGCAATCACGCCAGGTCAATATACAATCCATTGTGACACCTTGACCTAAAATCATGTCACAAAATGCAGAAACTGTGCCCCGGAGAGAGCAGTAAGAAGGCTTTACTACAAATCAAGTTTTACTCATCACTTAGCACAGGAAAAATGGGCACATTCATCTATACCGCATAAGTAACCGACTTTCAGCATCAGCTAAAGCCCATTGATGTTCAACTACCTCCAGGGCCTCCCATTCTGCTTTGAACGCTTTTTGCATATCTTGGGGCGCCTGCCCTGCCGCTGGAGGTGCATGATCGGTCAGAAACATTGGTTGTTCGGCAGCATTATCAGATCCCAGGACCAAGCCGTACATGCTGCGTAGACCAAATATATTCAAAAAGTACCAAGAGGCTGAGCTCACCCTAGGAGAGAGAGGAAATTAAGTTTTCCTTAGTAAAAGATTCACGATTGCTTACCACGAAGCGTTTAGAGAGTTTAATGACTCACAACCACGTTGTAACATTGGCTTGAAACGGTAAGTCAAAGGGAACGGAACCTTAGTGGTAAGGAAGCCCGAAAACGCCCAGTTGATCCAGCTGCCAATCACAATCATGGGGACCATATTGAGAGCGTTGCTTTTCAACATTTCCGATGCCATAGACGGATCTGAAAAATATTTCAATCAGTAACGTTTTCCTTACCTGTCATTGGGTTTCCCACTGGATTTTCACGCTTTTGTGTCCGGAAGAACCCATGTTCTTTGTGATTGAAAAAATACTTTCTCATCCTAAAGGCCTGACAAAGAATAAAAATATCATGCAAGACAAGATCTTACGCGAACGGGTATGTACTTTCCATTTTCTCGCAACAAGCGACTTCGTAGCAAAGCGTGACTGATAAGCGGTTAGTTATGAGTGGAGCACCATAAACCAACCTGTCACTAATGTTTTCCAATTCACTCTTCTTTTCGCTGGCGAAAATAATTGTCGTGTAGTGCCGAATCACACCGAATAAGAAAGTTATGATCACAAGAGGGAGGAAAACCCATGAGCGAATAGCTGGATCGAGAAATAATTCTGCCATTGTTGTACGCGCAGCAGTCTACAGACGTTGTAGTTTAACACCGAAGTCGACAACTAAAACAATACCAAGGAACAGTAAACGACAATTCCAACAGTGAGATTTTGGTTTTCAGAACCAATTATTAAGAACGTCAGTTGAATCAGGCATCACAAAATGTGAAGACCTAACGGATGTTGTGCACAAAAGAAGTACAATAAATTGAACCAAGTTAACTTTAAACTAAACACAAAAGCTTCCGAGTCATGATGCTGTTATTACCATTGATATTGACTGACAATAATTCGGAAATGCCCTTCGCACTTGAGAGGAGCTGGACTGACACCTTACGGTGTTTGTTCATCCAATCGGCATGTGCACCGACCAATTACAGTTCTGATACACAAAAGCACGCTTTCTGTGATGAACTCACTGATCTCATGCGGCTGAGTCGAAGTTCCGACATAGTTGTACTTGCAGGTGATTTTAACGCGCAAGGTGGAAACTGAGCGCACCAGAAGCATGCCTAGGCGGTAGTTGTGCTCTGCCCTGCCAACGAACAGATAACGGTGATCGATTCATTCAGTTCTGTGCGGAGCATCGGTTGTTCCTACCGAGTACCAACTTCGGACACAGCTCTCGACGGACGGCAACGTGGCGTTCCAGCTCAACTGGTACGCTAACTGAAATCGACCACATAGCAGTAAGCTACCGTTGGCGTGGCTCAGTGCAAAATTGCCGTTCCTATTGGAGCCAGCGTTGAGTCTGACCACGCATTAGTTTTGATGCGGTTCACTCTCCGACTGACTGACCGGCGGTGAATTCAGCAAACTCGGACAGCTCATCATCAACTATCTGTTCCAGCACTTTATGCACACCATGAATCAGAGCTAGTGCCTGCGTTACGCACACCTCAACCTGATGATGTAGATAAGCAGTGGGATCAGATTAGGCGAGCAATGAATTCCGCTGTGAAGGTTGCTTGTGGGTCTGAGCCTCAAGCCCGTCGGAGGCATTGGATATCTCAGGAGTCAGTATTCCTCAGGGGTGTAAAAAAGGATAAATCTCGACCTGCGAGGATCAAAACAGAGCTAGGTGGCATCTACAACGTCAGCTCACGAAGAAACTCAAGAAGGACCGTGAGAACCGGCGGTAGTGAAATGGAAGCAGCAGCTGCATCGGAGAATAGTCAATGCCTGTTCCGACTGATAAGTAATACGGGAGGTCGGCGAACTCGTTAGTGAAACAGTCTGCGATAAGAGGGGACAAGCTATTCACAATAGGGGTGAACGTCTTGATAGCTGGGCCGAATACCTCAGTGAACGGTTCAGCTGGCCTGCCGCTAACCAGGTTGCCTCATTCGCAACTGAAGCTCCGTGGGCAGACCCGTGCGATCCTCCAACAGAAGCAGAA